TTCTCTCCCAGGCCACTTCATTTAGCTCTTCCCTGGGGACCTCAAGGTGTTCCCAGGCCAGGTGAGGGACATAGTCTTTCCAGCATGTTCTGGGTCTTACACATGGTCTGCTACGGGTTTAACATTCCCTGAATACCTCATCAGCAAGGTGTCCTGGAGGCATCCTGGGTAGATGACCAAACCTCATCTCACTTAACATGATGTCAGATGACCAAGCTTCTAACCCCAACTTTAAGGGAACCAGCCACCCTGCAGAGGAACTGATTTTATCCGCTTGTATCCACGATCTTGTTCTTTGGGTCACTACCCACAGCTCCTGACCATCGGTAAAGATTGGAACACAGATTGACCAGTGTTTTGAGAGCTTTGCCTTTCAGCTCAGCTCCTTCTTTACCACAACAGACTTGTACAGAGTCCACATCAACGCTGACGCTGCATCGATCAGCATACAGACTTAAAAATCAATATAGGTTCATGTTTACTTATCACCCACAGAAACAGGAATTTATCTACGATGTCTAAAAGGCACAGAGAGTGCCCTTTGAGGGTATTGCATATATGGTCACTTTGAACTTGTCAAAATGTAGATAAAAAAAAACTTCACTACTGGTCTAGTCTATTTATTGATTTAAACATCCACAGGTGAGTTTCCCCTCTCTGTGCAGAAACAGTAGAGGTAACACTAAACTGCAGGGCAGACCAAACCAGTTTACAGACGCCAATAACAGACATCCAGTATTATAACTACTCAGAATATCGTCTAGAGCAACAGCAACAATGGCCCCTACAAACCACAACCAAAGACAAGCCATGATCACTGTGATGGTGTAGAAAGCCTTCTTCTTTGATTGGTCAACCCTCTCTTTGTTCCTGCCCACTACCCCTGGCCCCGGACGAATCAGAACACAGAGAACACGAAGACTACAAAAGGAGACAATAACTAAAGCAAAGGCTGACAAAGAAAGATAAAACTCTTTTGCAAAGGTCCCGCTCCAAAAAAACAACAGTCCACTAGTAAGGCACGAAAAGAGCCAAACCCACACTGTGCAGATGTTCCTGATCCTGACGCCACTGGGATGTTTCAGCTTCAGGTACAAGACTGGGTGGACAACAGCCAGGTATCTCTCCACACAGGTCAGGACGTGAAAGCTTATCTGTCCAGGTACGACAATGGAGGTCAGATGAAACCCTGTTACTGTCAAATTCCAGTAGGAGTGGAATTCACCAGAGAGGTAAATTATCCACCCGAGTGCGAAGATCATCTCTAGACCGACCATGTGGTAGGTGAAGATATCGGAGTGGCTGGTTGTTGCAAAGGAGCGCTGCTGCCTCCACTTTCGGTAACCCAGGTGGAGGACGAGGATGCAGAGAGGATGGAGAAGGAGTGCCCTAGTGCTGAAGAATGCAGTGGACACGTAAAGTCCATCCATTGAGTCTGTACAGTGGATCAGATAGTAGCTGGAGGAGATGGAAGTGTTGTTCGACATGCTGGGTTTAAACCACCTGTTCTTGAAGAACAGAAAGAGATGAAATAATGAGTCAGTATTCTTTGTAGGCATCCACCCCTCACCAGACCGGGTACATGGTACCTGCAGCCTGATTTCATCAAACAAGTAGGGCTTGAGTTTGGATCTACCTGGATTCACTCTCATAAGGTCAGACAGAGATGCTAAAGTTAGTGGAAGAAGAAAGGAAGAGGTCTGGAGTAACTCTTCACACATAAGTGTCAAGGAGAAGTTGAACTTGTTTACATCCCACCCAAGGCAACGGCTGAAGTTCCATGTGATGTTCCCGATGATACAGACTGAGGTACTTGTAATAACACCAGGAGACTTCAATCATGTCACCCTCTACTCTCACCTGACTGGATTTACACAATTTGTTACCTGTCCTACTAGAGAAAACCAAACCCTGGATCTGCTGTATGACAATGTCAAAGAAGATTACAGAACTAGTTCTCCCATCTCAAGAAGTCCCTGTGCTCAACAGAAACCTTTCAAGAAAAGTCAGTTTAAAGTGTGAGGAACTTAAAAAAACATCTCCCACCTTGACTGAGTGTGTCCAGTTTGTCCCACTAGTCCAGAGTCCCTCACTGCTTTTTTGCTGGTGTCTGATCCTGACGGGTCAAAGCCTCTGTGTTTAGGTATTTATGGCACCAGAGTGGAAACAGGCAGAAGTGGATCTGATAGTGTGCAGATCTTTCCACACCTGTCCTGTCCATGTACATCACTTTTGACAGGATTCAAATGATTTGCAAATAAAAGTGTGTGTTGTTTGACTGCTGCTGTCTAACAATCAAAAACACATGAATTAGATTTGTGTCGACATGTTTGTAAAGCTGGTAGGAAAATACTTGATGTAAATTTGCAGCAGCCTCAGCAAGGAAGACCACACTTTTCTCTCCAAGGCCACTTCATCTCGCTCTTCCCTGGGGACCTCAAGGTGATCGCAGGCCAGGTGAGGGACATAGCCTTTCCAGCATGTCCTGGGTCTTACACATGGTCTGCTACAGGTTGGACATTCCCTGAATACCTCACCAGCAAGATGTCCTGGAGGCATCCTGGGCAGATGCCCAAACCTCATCTCACTTATCATGACTCAGAGGAGTCAGATGACCCATCTTCCTACCCTATCTTTAAGGGAACAAGCCACCCTGCAGAGGAACTAATTTTAGCCGCTTGTATCCACGATCTTGTTCTTTGGGTCACTACCCACAGCTCCTGACCATCGGTAAAGGTCGGAACATAGATCGACTGGTATTTCAAGAGCATTGCCTTTCAGCTCAGCTCCTTCTTTACCACGACAGACCTGTACAGAGTCCACATCAATGCTGAAACCGCGCTGATCAGCATACAGACTTAAAAATCAATATAGGTTCATGTTCACTAATCAACCATGGAAACAGGAATTTATCTACGATGTCTAAAAGGCGCAGAGAGTTCCTTTTGAGGGTATTGCATATATTGTCACTGAACTGTCAAACTGTAAATTAAAACCAACTTTACTACTCGTCTAGTCTAAATAGTGATTTAACAACAACAGGTGAGTTTCCCCGCTCTGTGCAGAAACAGTAAAGGTAACACTAAACCACTGGGCAGACCAAACCAGTTTACAGACGCCAATAATAGACATCCAGTATCATAACCAATCAGGGTTGAATTGTCAAGAGCAATAAAAACGATGGCGGCTAAAAACCACAACAAAAGACAAGCCATGATCACTGTGATAGTGTAGAAAGCCCTTTTCTTTGATTGGTCAACCTTCTCTCTCTTCCCGCCCACTTCCCCAGGCCCTGGACGAATCAGGACACCAAGAACCCGAAGGCTACAAAAGGAGACAATAACTAAAGCGAAGGCTGTAAGGCAAAAGATATCACCGTTAGGAAGAATATCGATCCACACTTTCCACAGTCCACTGAACAGGACCAACAGAAGCCAAATACACACTGTGCAGATGTTCCTGATCCTCACGCCACCTGACTGTCTCAGCTTCAGGTACAAGACCGGCTGGACAACAGCTAGGTATCTCTCCACACAGGTCAGGACGTGAAAGCCGATCTGTCCAGGCATAGCACCTAAGCCGAGATAGAAGCCCACATCCATCACCTCAACGTTAGAAATGAAATGTCCACTCAAGTAAATTATCCACCCCACTGTGGAGATCAACTCTAGAGCGACTATGTGGTAGGTGAAGATATCCGAGTGGCTGGTTGTTGCAAAGGAGCGCTGCTGCCGCCATTGTCGATAACCCAGGTGGAGGATGAGGATGCAAAGAGGGATGAGGAGGAGAGTCCGAGTGAAGAAGTAGATGATGGACACGTAGACTCCGTCTAAAGAGTCCTCACAGTGTATCATATTGATGCTGGAGGAGGAGGAAGTGTTGTTCGACATTTTTGGTTGGTGTGCTGGAGTTTTCAGAGAGAGAGGGTTAGGGTTAGGAATGAAGGTGAACTTTGAGAACAGTTGCAGATGCATGACATGAACTGGAATAATTCTAGTTGTTAAACAATCATCAACCTTTGATCATGCGGGTAGGTGAACTGGTCTACTGAAGACCTTTGGTTTAATGGGTTTTCAAATTTACCAAAGAGAACAATCACACTCTTATGTCTATGTAAGTCAAGACTAGACCCCTTTAAATAAACCTTTTAAAGAGTTTTCCATGTAAAGGGCGCTGAGTTTCATCTTCAACCAATAACAGGACTCTGTTTAAAGCCGATCCTTTAAAGAACTTTGGTAATTCAGTAAGACCCACCTTGTACAAGTGTGTCCTGTTTCTCCTGCTGGTCTCAACTTATGCACTTAGTGTCCACAAGTCTCTGATCCTGATGAGTCAATGCTGATGTGTCCGTGTGTTTATGACTCTAGAGTGGGAACAGGCAGCAGCAGACTGGATGGCTGCTTTGCATGCGGTAAAAAAAGGTTGATTTCGTGACTGTGTACAAAGTGTTCGAGCAGGCAAATGTTGTTCTAAAAAAAAACTCAGGGTCACTTACCAGCCGATCAACGGGAATACATCGGGAAAATCTCTATTGACTGGTTTTCACTCAAGAATGCAGAATTTGTACTGGGGAGGTCTGTGTTTTCAGATTAGGGAGTTCACTGGACCCAGTGTAGCATACCCTCTGAAAGATGCTGGACTCGACTGATGGTTTTTAAATTTTATTTCCATAAAACTCCAACGTCATACAACCAAAGAGACCTTTCCTGCTCCCCAAACAACATACAATCCGACCATCCTGTCCAGTCTAGTCTGCTTGTTGATTTAACAACAACAGGGGAGTTTCCCCGCTCTGTGCAGAAACAGTAGAGGTAACACTAAACCACAGGGCAGACCAAACCGGTTTACAGACAACAATAACAGACATCCAATATCATCACTAATCGCAGTTGAATGGTTCAGAACAAAAGCAACTATAATGACTGCAAACCACAACAAAAGACAAGCCATGATCACTGTGATGGTGTAGAAAGCCTTTTTCTTTGATTGGTCAGCCCGCTCTATGTTCCTGCCCACTTTTCCAGGCCCTGGACGAATCAGAACACAGAGAACACTAACGCTGCAAAAGGAGACAATAACTAAAGCACAGGCCGTAAAAAATAAATACAACTCTTGTAATATGGTCCCACTCCACAAAACCATCAGTCCACTCCAGAGGCTTGAGAAGAACCAAACCCACAGAGAGATGATGTTCCTGATTCTGATCGCACTGGGCTGTTTTAGCTTCAGGTACAAGACCGGGTGGACAACAGCTAGGTATCTCTCCACACAGGTCAGCACGTGAAAGCCGATCTGTCCAGGTATGACAATGGAGGTCAGATGAAACCCTGCTACTGTCAAATTCCAGTAGGAGTTGAATTCACCAGAGAGGTAAATTATCCACCCCAGTGCAAAGATCATCTCTAGACCGACCATGTGGTAGGTGAAGATATCCGAGTGGCTGGTTGTTGCAAAGGAGCGCTGCTGCCGCCATTGTCGATAACCCAGGTGGAGGACGAAGATGCAGAGAGGATAGAGGAGGAGGGCCCGAGTGATGAAGATTGCAGTGGACATGTAAATGTCATAGAAAATGCCTGGACAGTGGATCACGTAACTGCTGTCGTGGGAGACCGAAGTGTTGTTTGACATGTTGGGTTTGTGTCCTGGAGCTGAAATGGTGAAGAGATGAAAAAAATGAGTCAGTAATTCTGTGCAGGAATCAAAACAAGTGGGACTCTGGTGTGGATCTACCTGGATTGACTCTCATAAGGTCAGACAGAGATGCTAAAGCTAGTGGAAGAAGAAAGGAGGAGGTCTGGACTAACTCTTCAGACATAAGTTTCAAGGAGAAGTTGTGTTGTCCATATATTAAACTGTTGGCAGTTGATCTTTTTGACTGTATTATATTCTAACCCCCATATTCCACTGCATCAAGAACAGCTACTGAAAGGCCATATCCGCTGATCGTAGCTGACCGTAACCATTCAAGTTAATGTGTCAATGTTCACCACTTTCATTCCGTTCCTCTGCAGATCGCCAGACTCTGCAGCTGATTGCAAGAGTTCTATTTTTTCGATGTCATTTCATCCCGATGACACCATGGATGAGGAGATGCTGGTTCTAGAAGTCTAGAAGTAGATTTCCTCCTCTGGAAGGACACCATCTACTGCTTACATGTCTATCTGGCTGTCTTTATAGAGACAACTTGTTGTAACGCATTTGCACACGAATCCGCGAGTTCTTGTGAGTTCTTGCGATTACCACTTTCCATAATCTGCCACGAAATTCGCCCTACCAATTGATCTGGCGAATACCTCCACCGTTCTGGATTGGAGCTGTTCTGGATGTGGTGAAAATTTGGGGTAAGAGAGTTCAGTCATATCAGAACAACACTTCATTACAGCCCACCCAAGGCAATGGCTGAAGTTCCGTGTGATGTTCTCGATGATACAGACTGAGGAACTTGTAGTAACACCAGGAGACTTCAATCATGTCACCCTCTGCTCTCACCTGACTGGATTTACACAGTTTGTTACCTGTCCTACCAGAGAAAACCAAACCCTGGATCTGCTGTATGCTAACGTCAAAGAAGATTACAGAGTTAGTTCTCCCTTCTCAAGAAGTCCTTGTGCCCAACGGAAACCCTTCAAGAAAAGTCGGTTTAAAATGTTAGGAACTAAAAAACATCTCCCACCTTGACTGAGTGTGTCTGGTTTGTCTTACTGGTCCAGAGTCCCTCACTGCTCTTCACTGGTCTCTGATCCTGATGGGTCAAAGCCTCTGTGTAAAGGTATTTATGGCACCAGAGTGGGAACAGGCAGCAGTGGATCTGATGGCTGTTTTGCATGCTGTAAAAACATTGAATTATATCACTGTACACAAAGAGTCACAGCAGGCAAATCTTGTTGACCTTGAAAAAACTGTTTCACCTACTGGTCAATCAACAGGAATACTTCCTCTCTCAATTTGAAGTGTTATCATCTCTATTGACTCAGTGATTCATTGGGAAGATCTGTATTTTCACAGTAAAGAGCATTCTCGTCCTTGTCTCCAGTTCATTAAACAAAACATTTTCACAGGCCTTGGTTTATACAGGAGAAAACAGTTTTTATGGAGAATAAAATCAATGAGAATAACATCCAAGTCTTCTGAGCAGACTTACTGGCAATTTCCACCACATCCAGAACAGCTACGTTAAGGCAGTGTCTGCCGATCACCGCTGATCGTTTCAAATGTGTCAATTTCCACCAGCTTCTTTCCATTCTGCTGCAGAATGCCGGACTCCACGGCTGATCACATAAGTCCTTTTTTCTGGACGCCGGAGCATGGCGGATAAATTCAGCACAGAGTAACCCGTGCTGGAAAGGAAGTCGGGCACAGACACAAAATACAACATCCAGCTTCTTTTCAAAATAAAACACTCCATGTTTCAGGAGGATCATATTTCACACCATGCAAACGGGCGGAGACGAACAAGTGAAAGGTTTTTAGACGTCATTTCACCCCGATGACACCATGGATGAGGAGATGCTGATTCTAGAAGTCTAGAAGTAGATTTCCTCCTCTGGAAGAACATAATCCACTGCTTTTATGGTTAGCCTCTGTGGCTAAAGACAACTTGTTATCGCACGACTGAACATGAATCCTTGGGTTCTTGTGAGTTCTTGCGATTCCTGCTGTCCCTAACCCACCACGAAATTCGCCTCACCAACGGATCCAGTAGAAATTGGCATACGGCGAAAATCGCCGCCATTACAGATCAGAGCCGCTCCTGATGCAGTGGAAATCCTGGGTTACCCCCAAATTCCACTGCATTTGGAACGACACTGCTGCGGAACAGCTGCGATTTACACTATCCGTCAAGTCCTACAGGATGCATTTGTGAGGTGAATTTACTGGCGAATTTCAGACAGCCGGAATCGTGAGGACTCACAAGAACCTGCGAATTTACAAACATTTGCACAATAACTAGGACTAATAATCAATCAGAGATCACATATTTCCACTGGATCTGATTTGATGGTCCTCCATTTCTACTGAGAAGTTGGCGTCCCTGTTGGTTGGAGATTATTGCTCAGACTAGAAATAGTACAGTGAAAATCTAAATCTAAAGTCATGTGGGAATAAAGATTTAAATATAATTCATATGATCCTGATGATGATCCAGTTACTCTCCTCAAATCTAAACTTTATATAAAACCAAGTCGACTCCTGTCTGAGTGTAGATCTTTCCACACCTGTCCTCAACATGTGACTCATCTGTACATCACCGCAGACAGGATTCAAATGATTTGGTGCGTATATTTTGACTGCTGCTGTCTGTCAATCAAAAACACATACATTAGATTTGCGTGGACGTGTTTGTAAAGCTGGTAGGAAAATACTTGATATTTGATGAGTTTAGGTTTCAACAATCAATCAAATTTATTACTTTCTTACATAATCAAAAAAAACACGTATTTGCAGTTTTTATGAATAGATATAATCTTGTCATGCAGGTTTAGAGATCATTCTTCCTCAAACCGTCTACATTCCTTATCTTGCAGATTTTATGGATTACTCACAATTCTCTTTATCATCTTCTCCCAACGTAGGTTGTTCTCAGCTCCGAGTCCAAATCCAGCATCCCTGAAGGTACGGGATCATCAGAGTCCATGTCACAGGCATCTTCCACATCTGTGAAGACTCCATTGAAAGGATATTCCGGCGTAGAATTACTTTAGGCTCAAACACACCGTTACACAGAGTTAGATACGCCCCCCTCAAGAGATGAATGTTGTCGACCGCTTGCTTCTCTAGTTATACCAACTTTGGTTACGACCGCACGATAGCAATACAAAGAGCCACGCGTTCAACCAAAACGCCACTCTATAGCCACAAATAATGCTCAGAACAGCTCCTAACTTCATCAACAGGACATATAGGGTCACAGACATAGTACTAGCCACCAAACATCTTTTTAACTTTGAATCATTTCTTTAGCAGAGACTAAACACAACTCACCCACTCTCTAACTATGACTAACAGATGAGCCAAGAACAGGTACAGGTGTAGGAAAATCTCAACAGGCAGTGATTCACGAGCATAAGCATGAATCTTTGTCTCCATAAACATAACAAAGACTGATGGGTAATAAATTATAACCATGAGACGACCCTTGATTTTGATTATTCCATCCTCATTTATCAGAGAAACCAGCTTCTCTCGAGATCAGGCATTCAATGACTTCCACTCATGGCATCCTTTTAGTGTTGTGAGATTTTTTTATTAATCTGAGTCACCTAAAGACGACAAAGGTTGAGATACAATTGTATAAATCTTGAAGCACAAGTTATAATTATGTAAAAGAGGAAGCATATAAAAAATTGTATCTGTCGGAGGATTGAGCCTTGGGGAACGCCACGTGTGAAGCCCATTCGATTCCAAACCTACACTGTTTTTAATCAGAACCAGACAAGGCGCTGAATTCCCGTGTCCCTGCTGTAATATCTGCAGCCTTTTTTAGTCTCATTCTCACCAGAGACACAGTAAACAGATATCGTTTTACACGTACAAAATTCTGCACACTCAAATGAACAAGACTGATGGAGCGGAGTGCTTTATATTTGAGCTGCAACCCTCACACATCAGTTCAGGACTCTTGACACGCACACGATCAGAACCGGAACTTCAGGACAGCTTTGTTTGGATTCAACAACATTTGACTTTTGGGGTTTTTAGGATAACCCCCAATTTTCACTGCACCGGGAATCGCTCCGCTTCGGAATGGCGGCGATTTTCACCATCCACAAATTTCTACAGGATCTGTTTGTGAGGCCAATAACTTGGGGGATTACAGACAGTGGTAATCGCGAGAACACGCATGAATTCATGTATTTCCGTGCAATCGCGCAATAAGTGTTTTATTTTGAAAAGAAGCCGGATGTTTTATTTTGTGTCTGTGCCCGACTTCCTTTCCAGCACGGGTTAATCAGTGCTGAATTTATCCGACATGCCCCGGTGTCCAGAAAAAATAGAACTCTCGCCATCAGCCGTGGGGTTCGGTCATCCATGGCGGTACAGAAAGGCGTGTAGAAACCAACTACACGCCCCGTCTACGACTTATGGTGCTGGGAGGAGCTGAGTTAGGGAGGGGGGATACTTACGCCGGGCTGCGCGGCTCACCAAAATACCAAAATGTGCTTGGGAACGCCTTGTCAGCGCGGCGGATCTGACTGACGCTGCGCTTGCGGCACGTCTCCGGCGAGGCACCAAAATAGAGCCCTTAGTGTCCACAAGTCTCTGATCCTGATGAGTCAATGCTGATGTGTCCGTGTGTTTATGACTCTAGAGTGGGAACAGGCAGCAGCAGACTGGATGGCTGCTTTGCATGCGGTAAAAAAAGGTTGATTTCGTGACTGTGTACAAAGTGTTCGAGCAGGCAAATGTTGTTCTAAAAAAAAACTCAGGGTCACTTACCAGCCGATCAACGGGAATACATCGGGAAAATCTCTATTGACTGGTTTTCACTCAAGAATGCAGAATTTGTACTGGGGAGGTCTGTGTTTTCAGATTAGGGAGTTCACTGGACCCAGTGTAGCATACCCTCTGAAAGATGCTGGACTCGACTGATGGTTTTTAAATTTTATTTCCATAAAACTCCAACGTCA